AAATGGAATGTCCTGCGTCCATGGCTGACATAGACGGCTTTCGAAGAACGCTGTGGAGCTGGGTTTCTTGTTTGTCCTTCCTGGTTGTATGCACCTGCTAACAGGCTCTAGGAGTCTGCTCTCAGATTATCCCTGGCATGCAGTAGCAGGAAGTAAATTGCAGGTCCTTTACCTGGAGATTCCAAATCTCAGGGATGTTGAGAGATTATGAGGGCTTCGCTTAGGGATCATAAAGGGTTCTGTTTGAGGTTTGAAGAACCCGCGTAAAACTTGCTGGCTAAACGCGAGCAGCCTCAACCCGCCAACTCCTCGGTTGCTGTCAGGGAACTTAAATGAAGTACCACCATCAAGGGACCGAATTCTTCGCCGTGGACCCATGTTATGGCAACTTGGTCGAAGTTCCTTGACACCCTATAGAATACCCTTCATAGCCACTCGTTTTATTTCATTCTCAATTTGATTTGATTATCCATTTAGATTTCCTGAACTGCAAGCCAGACTCCAGGCTACGGGGACCTGGCATCAATTGGTCAGGCCGATCGAATTCAGGGCTGAATGGATGCTAGCAGGGATGAATGCTATTCAGGCCCCTCCTGCACCCTGAAAAAATTGCAAGGTAGGTCTAGTTTTTGTCGATGTGGAGGCTGTCGGTTTTCAAAGACTCCTAGAAGCTTGTCCTGTAGCCGTATTGGAATTGTTTTAGGACCTTCTTTGGGGCGCTCTTTGAAGATTAATTCCCTCCAGCAGAGTTTCTCCAGTATAGAGGCGGGGCTCAATTTGGAGGTATGGCTGGGGTCACGTCGTACAGCTGTTGAAGGTCAGTTGTCGAGCAAAATCATTGGGCATTGAGCATGGCTTCTGGGCATACTACTGAAAAACATATGTTACCGCGGCCATGTTACCCGAGCATGCCCCAGCCACAGGCTGTGTTGCTGTTAAGGAACTTAACATAAGTTACTATATTGGGGAAACCCTAATATTTACTATATATACCCATTATGGTAACTTAGTTTAAGTTCCTTAACAGCAACCCAGCAGGTGTTGAACTTGCTGTGAGTTCAGTATTGCCCATGCTTCACGCAGATGCGCGCAGTCTAAGATTCTCCAATCGGTTTTTGGATTCAGCAGCTGCCATATCTTTTGCATGAGACTAAACCCTAAACCCCCAACCCCTAAACCCCTAAACCCCCAACCCCTAAACCCCTAAACCCTAAACCCCCAACCCCTAAACCCCTGTACCCCTAAACCCCTAAACCCCTAAACTGTGGCAGCTAAGTGCAACAAGCAGGCGATGGTGGCCGAGCGCATGAAGCGGCTCAGCGCGAGCGAAACGAGCAAAAAAGGACCACCTAAACCCTAAAAGTATGTAGAATTATATTGGGCTTATATTGGGATAATGGAAAATAAAATGGAAACTACTATAGTATATTGGGGTTATATTGGGATAATGGAAAATAAAATGGAAACTACCCTAACAGTATGTAGAACAATAGCCCTAAACCCATAATAATAGCCATAAAGACCATTATTTTACATACTTTTGGGGTTGAGGCACTCGGTCTCAGGGGCGGCAAAAGATGCAAGGGGTGTTCCAATTATGACTTTGAGCATGCGCCTGGTATGGTGAGAAGCTCATGACTTAATTGCTGGAATGGAAAAGAAAATGGAAACCCCTAGGGTTTAGGGTTTAGGGGAAGTGTGATGTAAAGCGATGCCGAACTGAATAGGAAGAGGCGAGCCAGTTCCAGAACTGTGCGGACTATTCATGCTGCCATATACTGGTCGGGAACTTTCGGAAATAGCCGGGAGCATGCTAAAGCCGCGCAGAGCGGCACACATTGGGGCATCTTGACCAGTCTGACTGACAAGTTCGTTGCTTGCAACTGCTTGTACATACGTATCTTAGAGCTCCAGGAAGTTAGTGTAGCTCAAGAGATAGCTTAGTCTGCCAAACCCAAAAAGTATGGAAAACATTTACCTTTATTATTATGGGTTTAGGGCTATTATTTTGCAGATTTTTGGGGTTTAGGAAGTTCCTATTCCTGGCAATGATGCCAAAGAAGTTGCATCCGAGGCTCGTCCAGGTGCAGCAGCGTGCCGAAGGGGCCAAGGCCTTGAAGGGATCAAAGTTTGCTAGTGGGTTTCATTTGGGGTAATATCCTTTCATTAATATCCTTTCATATAACCCCCAATATTTTTCTAATATTACCCCAATATAACCCTAATACTCTTGATGGAGGAAATCTTGCACCACCTTAAGTCCTTAAAGTCCCAGAAGTTATAGTAGTTTAGGGCTCCTAGGTGGTGCAAGATTTCATCCATCAACAGCAAGGGGTTTAGGGTTTTAGGGTATATGGCGTTGGGAGTTCGCAGTGAACCACCTACAGTATTTGAGAGGTGGTTACATTATGAGGATAAAGAGCCGACCCCAAGCCCAAAGTCCCATGGAAGGAGATGTAGTCCTGAGTTCCGAAAGTAGGAAACAAGAGCTGAGCCAAAGGCTTCAATGCCATCTTTCAAGTTTTCAGGGACAGGGCTGTGCCTACGTTGGGGATTCTATTTTCCGCAACCCTAAGCCCTAAACCCTACACCGTATACGTGGGAATTTGGGCGGCACCTATCCAGTCGAAGGATCCAGCTTTTCATGGCTCGTGTCGTGCCAGTGTCTGTGCCCAGCATCTGCAGGTCAAGCGCATTCAGGGTATAACAACTTACTGGTGGTTACAGTGGTAGGGAATACAGGAATTTAGGATATAGGGATTCTACTCCCATATTCTCAACCAGCAACCACAAAAAAAACTGAAGCAGATTATAGCCTGTGACCTCCACGAATGAAGTTCCAGAGCCACAAGAAATAAAGGCATCTACCATCCTTACTCCTCAGCCGTCTCAGCAAGCAGCGCAACGAGAAACCTGAAGCGACTGCAATGCTGAGGGTCCTGAGAACCTCCTGTGCGTGGCTCAGAGCCTGTGGTCTGGCTGGCCTCTGGTAGCTTGCTGTTTGCCATGTGTTTGCTTCCAGAATGGTCATATTTAATATAGGGAGAATGGAAAAGAAAATGGAAGTTAATATATTATAACTTAAAATAGGGTATATATTGGGGCTATATTTAGGGCCGGCTAGGGGCAGGCCGTTGAGCTTAGCTGACGTCGGGCTTGGCTTGCAGAAATTGGAACTGTCACCTCGACCGTAAAGTTTGGACCTCCAATACCACGTTTTAAGACAGCCCAGGTACACATCCTTGACTGACCGGCACACGCTGGAACAGTGGGAAGCACTGCTTCAGAAGTTAGTGTGGATCCTAGCAGCAGGTGTTCCAGCAATGCCTCGAAGTCAAATGTTTTTTTACACTTACAAGCCAACCTCAAGCTGTTGAAGGTTCTAGGGGGTGATCCCACAATAACATGGGGTAGTACCCCCTAGAATGCACACCCGAAATGCCAGGGATCCCAAAAAGCCTGATTCGGCAAAACCCCCCACATCAGCCAACTTCAATGTCCCGATGTCTCCCTGCCTTGTCAGCATCAGTGCCTACACGGATTGAATCTGTAGAGCCCAAGATTGGACAGAAGTCTGCGCTTGCAGCCACCCACAGCAATGCAGAAGAACTCTCCCAGGCAATTGAAGTTGGAGAAGCACTCACCCCATCAAAGTCTGCGGTTTGCCTGGATGGCGCGCTAGGATCACGGCCTGATGATGATGATGGTGACGATGATGATGATGGTGATGATGACGATGATGATGGTTTTGATGAAGATGTAGATGCAGATGTACATTTCAATGTCGGTCATGGCCTAGGTCTCCGGCTACAGTGTGATCAAGGCAAGCAGGGCGCAAGGGATAGGATCCTTTGTGGCAACCGTGTATCCTACATGTTCAGTTTGGTATAGCTCTCCATGTTCTTTTCCGTTCTCAATCTCCAACAACGACACGGGTCCCTATGAGAGACCAATGCACTTCTGTCTTGCGCATATCTCATGCCCGTTGCATGCCCCAAAGGAACATTGTCTGCATCAAGGGCTGACAAATTTTAAAATTTATTGACCCGTTCACTTGTGGCCGCAAGAATTGAATTTGCTGTTGTACTTCGTTCTCACCAGATTCCTGAAAGCTATCACTGCTCTTGCCCTGGAAATTGTGAGCCCGGTCCAGCAAGCATGTGGTGACACTTGAGTTGAATCCTTGCCATGGCATAGTACCACAACAACTAATGTAATCTCAACTTGCCTGATTCGCCTAGTTGGAACGGTCATTCGGTGGATTTGTTTTCCTTTTTGTTCAGTTGTTCTAGCCTGGATTGGACGACAGGTACAGTGCCATCCGATTGTTGCTAGCTTTCGTGGCAAATTCTTGCAGGTCGCCAGGAACGGCAAGCTGTACAACCGCAGCTTTTGGCTACACGGTGGCAGTCGGCTTCCCAGTCTTTCATGAGGCACATAGTCCCTGGACTTCATGTCTAGTATATCCCTTAATAGATCCCCCCCAAAACTCTATATAGTCCCCTATAGGTCCCCCCAACCTAAATTGAGTCCGTAGCTCACATGGTCATAGATCGGAGTGGCCTCATAGATTAGCAATCTTCTTCCAATAAGTCCTTGTCCGACTGTGGGCTTTAGGGTTTAGAGTTTAGGGTTTGGGAGAAAAGAAAATGGAAAGTACTATAATGGGCTATATAGGTACTACTTTAAGGATCCCAGACTATTATACTACCCCTGCGAGTCGCGATTGTCGTTGTTCATCTGTCCTTGAGTTGCATCTTGGAGAAGATGCAGGAGGCCCTCTCAAATCAAAGGCCGTGTGATTCCCGTCAGGCATTGACATGAATAAGGATCATGTGACCAGGGAGCCGCATATCAACCTGGACGATTCTTCTTGGAATGAATATCATGGTGTGTCTTGTTTCATTTTGCAGTTTGGTGTGGTTCTTAAGCTGCAGGTATATCAAGAGCGAATCAAGTTCGAAGCCAGCTGAATGTGGCTGAGGCTTGCGCACCAATGGGCGGTTTAACTCCGGTATCGTGCATAGCTCAGAGACGCAGAGACAGATTATCCAAATTAGGGAGTGAGAAGCAGGCAGCTCGCTGCTTGGGAGGCCACAACCTGTACTGCTGTATGGTCTCAGCATAAGCATAAATGCAGCTGTCTCAAGTTCGATGTCGAATCAAGCCTGTGAACTCTGGAGACTTCTCAAGTAGAAAGCTGCGAATTGAGAAGCACGAAGTCTAGAGTTTCTTGGCGGGTCCAGAAGCTTTAAATCCCTTCCCCTACCTTCCCTAAACCCTAAACCCTAGTGTAACCAATAAGTTGAAGCCAAGGACCTGCGACAGCGGCGGCCTTGGCACGGTCCAAGATGCTCTTGCGCAATGTGATCGAGTTGACATAAGTTTACCCACAACATTCTACGTACTTACTCAACATAGTTTCTTTTAGGGTAGTGTATTGCAATTTCGTGCAGAAAATCATAACAACACCCCCAAAGTTACTGCATGGGAGCCATTGGGTAAACTCCTAGATGCAGTTTGGAGCGTCTTGTGTCCTTGCATTGCAGCCCAAACTCACCAGGAAATTGTAGAAGTGGCGAGGAATAGCTCCATACGCGCGATGTCTCTACCATCATGGATGTGCAAAGCATTCTACGCCAATGCGGCACTGGACCTGTTGATTTTCCTTGTGCCTGGGTCCATCGGCGTGCCGGACTCTTGGGATTGAGCTTGCTTCATATAGAGGTGTCTTGAAGAAGTGCTTGGGGCTGCGTACCAGGCCTTAGATTAGGTTTCTACGTAGGTTTCTATTATAAGTATAAGTTAAAAACACAGCAACGGGGCTGAGGTTGCCAAACCCTGACCACAAATCTAGGGTGACTTCTTTGGTTATCAACACATTAAAAATGGGCCCTCGTGGTCTCAGCCTGGGTTCAGTGAGTTTTTAGATTCTTGCTGAAGCCAGCAGAGTCGATCTTATGATTTGATGCATGCAGTCAGGCATCAGCCCCGCATAGACTCAAGAAACACGTTTATTCTTGAAATGGTAGGGGTTGTGCCGAGACAAAGGTGATAATCATCCCAAGGGGCCCTCATGCCTCCCATAGCCAGCACACCCTACACTTGTTACTTTCACAAAACAGGGGGACCCCAATAAAGACCCCAAACTACTATAATCCTTTTTTTTATGGGGACTCCCCCAACATGGGGACCCCTAATTTTGGGAAAGTCCCACTCTTTATAGAACCTGGCTACCCTGCAACAGGACCTTATTGCCGCAAAGTTCCCCGCGGGCAAGAAAGAAGGCAGGCTTCCGCCGGCATGGGGATCACATGGGGGCAATGTGGTGATTACATATATATATATGTATATATATATATGTACGTATATATAGAGGATGTGGGGTTAAGGGTTTTAGGGCTTAGGGATGATAAATGGAAAAGAAAATGGAAACTATTATTTGGGGTTTAGGGTTTAGGGATGTTACCCGAACAATGGAGAATCAAATGGGCAACTGGGCTGCTGTTAAGGAACTTAAACTAATTCTTCTACTGGGGGAACCATATTCATTGCTATATACGTGCCCAGTAAGGTAACTCAGTTGAAATTACTACAACTGGGGAACCGTGCTAATTACTTTTTGTATACCCATTATGGTAGCTTAATTCAAGTTCCTTACCAGCAAGCCAGCCGAGCATAGTGGCCTTCCAGCATGCTTGTGCTGAGAGGGTAGTGAGCTGCGCGTTGCATCTTTGATTGCGAACCCTAGTTTCCGTTTCATTTTTCGTGTTCTTGTCCATCTGATTCTCCATCATTGTGGTAACATCCCGAAATCCCTAGTTTAAACCCTGAATTGCAGTTTCCGGGAGAAAAGGTGCGATGGGGTGCTAAAGATATAGTAGTTTCCATGTTCTTATGGATTACCCCTAGATAATCGAATACAGCCCCTGTATGATCCCCTTATAAGCCCTTAGTCATGCCATCCTCCAATTCCGAGCACTGCATGCAACATTCGGAAGCTTTGCGTGCTAGGCGAGATTGAGCAGCTCATTCAGCTCTTCCACCGACAAGGTGGGAAAACCTTGGGTTAGGCCCCCACCCAGTAATAATGGTACTAGAGGAATATATAGGGACCCTAATATCGGGTTGCAGGCCTTGGGCGGCCTTCCCGCGACAAAGTATTTGTAACAGAAAGACCGGTCATGGGACAGACTCCGAGACAAACCCCACGACAAGAGGCCCGCAAAACAGGGATTTGAAACAAGAGGCCGTGGTAGGGGGAGGTCGTGACAAAGAGGGTGTCGGCCGACACCCATATATCCTCGCAATACCCCAACATAACTTCCATAACCCTCACACCCATATATCCTCACAATACCCCAACATAACTTCCATAAGCCTTACACCCATATATCCTCACAATACCCCAACAGAACCCTTATGACCCGTTTAAAGGGAGCCCCTAATTTTTGGGTCTCCTGCATTCCGGAGGAGGTTTCGCCTTCCTTCTGCACGGCGCCGTGCGGTTCGCAGCGGGGTACTATCAGACGGAGGAGCTCAAAGACAAACACGTATGGTCCCCCTTAAGTAGATAGAATATGGGGTATGTTATTGGGTTTTATAGGGCATAATGGAAAGAAAATGGAAACTACTATACTATAGTAGGGTATATATAGGGGTTATAGTCCCCCTTAAGTAGATACAATATATTTCTTTGGGTATATTATAATACGATCCCCATATACCCCATATTCTATCTACTTAAGGGGGACTGTAGGATGTACCAAAAACGTTGGTCCCGTTTTAGGGGGCTACGCAGGGTATGCAGGGGGCTGTGTTATGCAGGATCATGGCGAGCTTTGCGGGGAGTTCTTTTGCAGTTACGGATCTTTTTTGTCACGGGGAATCCCTGTAAACATTCATATTCCCAAGGTATATCGGTAAATGCCATTAGAAGCCTCACTCCTGTCTTTGAAGCTTCAGCGCGTTGGGTCCAGAAGTCTGACGGTGAGCAGCACTTCAGACAACGTAGTTCGTCCAATTTTAGGATTTGGAGTTTGGGGTTTAAGGTTTGGGGTTTCGGGTTTATGGTTTGGGGATTAGGGTTTGGGGTTTCGGGTTCAGGGTTTGGGGTTTAGGGGTTAGTATTTAGGGATCTTTCTGCCGCAGCACACCCCAGCCATGTACTAGCTGCGGGGATGCATCAAATGATCCCCTCCCCCGAATAGTAAAACTCCCACCCCCTTTCTTGGATAGTCCCAAATCTTCTAGTACACCAAACTTATAATCTTAGGGGAGGTGATCATTCCAATACAACCCCTATACATGCCCAATTAAGTATACTTCTTGCATTTTCGTTTGCATGATTCCTATATACCCCCTATATGAAAGTTAGGGGGATGTTAGGGTTTTCAGGTTTAGGGTTTAGGGGTTTAGAGGTTTAGGCTTAAGCTTTGACGCCAGGAAATGGTTTACCTGGCCTTATTCAGCTATGCCGTGGAGGCTTCACAGCTCCTGCGCCTCCTTCCCACTTTGCAAAGAATATTTCTTAGGCTTTTTGGTTGTCTGAGTATGTAGTAGGCTTGGTATAATACCCGCCATATGCTAATAGGTGCCTATAAGGCAGCACATTATATTCGCAGTTTCCAGTCCCTTCTCCATGTTATTTTTCATTTAATTTCCTCTAGGGGTAATGAATTTGTCCTTCGACTCTAAACACAATATAGCCCTATGAAGCCCCAATCTTTGATGTCGCCTGAGCTGCGGCATTCAGCATGGCAACTCGCCATCAACTTCTGTAGTGGAAATACTGCTGCAAGAGCAAGACATCGTCTGACTTGGTAGCTTAGGTACTTCTACGTCAAGGGCACGGCTTTGCAAGCCATCTGGCTGGTCCTTATTGGCATCACCATTTGGACCTCGGTCATCCTCCACGTAGGCCTAGGCTTCGGGGCCTGATGATGCTATGAAGAAGATCCTCAATAGCACCAACAACATGGACGTGGTCTTGGCAGCGGGGCGAGGCATTCAACTGAGCGATAAGACGCGCAAGCCAAAGGCTAAAAGGCGCTGGCTACCTTTATGTGCCGGCAAGCTGGAGGCGGCCATTTGTGGGTTGCCAAAGTTTTGGCTGCAGAGTGTCCCTGCCTGCCGCGCGAAGAAAAGCAAGGGCGCAGTTCATGGGGTTCTCCCCTAGCCCTCTGATAGGGGTAATATAGTGGTATACAGGTGCATGGAACAGAGAATCGGGACCTCGTACATTATTCAGTGCATTTTAGTGCAAAGATTCCAGCTGACCTTCATGCCCATGCCGATGCCCAGTTTGACCGGAGTGTTCCGCGGCGCTGTCTCTCAAGAGTTCCTCAAGCGATGCTGTCATGTTTGAGAAGAGAGCAATCCCCTCCCCTAATGATGAAGCACCCCCCACTTCCCCAATGATTGATACACTGCACCGTACCAGTATTTATATGAGGCATACATGCCCTATGAGGCTTCTCGAGGATTTTGAGGGAGAGGAATATCAAATTCCGCCAATGTCAGATGAATGCTACGCTTAGAACTGACAAGCTTGGGCTCTTGGCTTGTCCTCTCAAGCTCAACTTATACGGTTCCTTACTATGTTCTTACTGTTTCTTTGTAGGGACCAAGGGATTATTTCATATAGGGACTATATAGGGATTCTATTCCTTTATGCCCTAGTAAGAACAAGGAGGTGTTAGATATTACGAAGAATTGGGGGCCCCTGCGTGGAAATTCCTCCCCTAAGAACTGTAGTATTTGAGAGTTTACTGGAGGGATGAGATTTGTTTTGACATGCTGAGCAGAATGCCTAGTTCCCATTTCATTTTCCATTAGCTTTTTGCACTCTATTTATTTTCCATTCTGAGGGTAAGAACCCGAATCCCTAATCCCTGAACCCAAATCCATAAACCCTAACCCCTAAAACCTAAACCCTAATCCCTGAACCCAAGCCCTAAACCCTAATCCCTACACCCTAATCCCCAAACCCTAACTCCCTACACTACCCCCTGCCAATGAGCTGTAGTCGAAACTCCTTTTTACAAAGGGGAATTATACCCTCCTAATGTCCCAAAATCCCTAAACCCTAAACCTTCATCCCCAAACCCTAGCTCCCTACATTTCCCCCCCAAAATGTCCCAAAAACGATCCTCCGGGTCTGGGCCCAGCCAGGCTCCGAAGGCAAACCCGGGAACCTCCGAGGCCTGACCTTCCAAAATGACTTGGCCTACCTCTAGGGCTAGATTGGGGTTTAGGGTTTAGAGTTTAGGGTTTAGGGCTTAGGATTTAGGGCTTAGGGCTTAGGATAGACATGTTTATGTCAATATGTACTTGTCCGTTTATATGGGATTACGCAGGATCACATGGGGTGATATACGGTTGTATAGGGTGTAGGATATACTGGAAAAGAAAAAGGAACACGATATGAAAATTGGGATTTGTCCATGGCAGTTCCTGTGTTCGGGGGATTCTAATGAGAATCTGAAGCCAGCACACATACCAAGCCCCCCAAAAGAACCATTGGAGGGTCCAGGTATGTAAGTACTTGGAATAGGGCTGTGGGGTACATGAAACGAAACCTGTATGGAGAGAGAATTCTCCAAATAATTAAATATCCAGCCTTTTGCCGTAGCTTAAGGAGCCAGTGCAGATTCGAGAATAATTAACCCTGGGCCACGTTCCCAGCAGCCACGGAAACATGAAGTCTCAGCACTGTCGGCCTACCAGTGGGGAAACAATTCCGCTGGGCTCCGAAACCCGGATATGTGCTTCCTTTAAATTGAGCAGAAGATGTTCTCTGAATCCGGGACCTTAGAACATAAAAAATACATGAGGTGACAAGTACTAACAAGTACAACATTGCGAGTGCCAAAGTTCGCCTTGCTAAAATCAATTTGCGTAATATAGATCTTGTTCAATGAGTAGAAGCCCTCTTGGATGCATCACTCCTCCCATTCCTCACACCTCTTACTGCTCTTACTACTTTTCGGGGCATCTTACTTGTAACCTTCTCAGTAAGTCTTAGTTCTATTCCTCATATAACGTGTATTTAGATGTGCAGGACGCATAATTGGGCTATAACAACGCGTACTCAGTAAATCATGAGCAACAATCCGGACCAAGATGAACCAGACACTCGAAGATTCGTTTCTTCTCAAAGTGACCCTTTGCCTGAGAAGGGTGCTTGCAACAATTTTCGTAGAGAAAGTGCTGAGACTGTGTTGTTATCCCCAGCCTGAACACAAAGGAATCCCACCCAACAGCTTTCCAACGGGCAATCACACGTTAACAGATGACCCAGGTAACCCCGTTTCAAAATTGATCCTGTGAAGCCCCAGCATTGTTCCAATATGAGCCCCTATATGATATCCCTAGTATATCCCTATATAACCCCTATATCCCATGAAGCCCCAAGTCCTCAAACCCGACGCAGGAAAAGTGGGTCCCTTGCCACGGGGTTGCTGCGAACGCCGGAGCCTGAGTCCATCTGACGTGTGGTACGCTACACTCTCCCAAAGAAACACGGAAACCCAAGAGGCGTTGGGTGTGGGGATAGGGCGGGGTGCTACCTCTTCTTTTGTGATTCCTGTTGTTGTGGTTGGAGGTCTCTGCATGGAATAAGGTAGGCCCCATGCAAAAAGGGATGTCACATGCGCCAGGAGTCTATTCTCAGCCGCACCGGTTGTATGGCTGTTTGTAGCGGTATCAGATCATCTTCCCAATGCTCGGCCTTTCTTGGTGCTCCTGTTTTGGCAAGGTATGATCAAGCTTTTTTCAACCGCAGCTTGAGCAATACTGGGAGTGGACCGTAGCCTAAATCTGTGTACTTATGATTCCGCTCTACACAACCCCCATGCAACTCCTAAGCACCCAAACCAGTAGGCCCCGCTTGAAGGAACCATTCACCTCTGCGCATGTGAGCTACAGTCTAAACTCCTAGTATCCCCTTTAATACGCCCTATAGTAGTCCCCTACGTATTCCCTTATATAACCCTATATACCCCTATCATTCAACTCCCTTATATAATCCCCTTTAAGGAGTGCGGACTATAGCTCATGTGATATCAGGTTTGTGGCCAGCAAGCCAGTGCCGCAAGAGCACCCGGCCTGGGCCCTGGACCAGAAGAATCAAAGCAGCCTGTCTAATGATAACTTATGGGTGGTTCCCAAAATTAGGGTCCCATTTTGGTACCCCTAAATATTAGGTGCTGCAATATATACCCCAAAGGGCCCATAATTTTGAGAACAACCCTAATTATTATCAGTACTATATAGTCCTAGTATTACTACTATTAGTATTAGTATTACAATTATGACTATGATCATTAGTATTACTAGTACTACTAGTATCACTATTCGTATCATGTTTATTATCATTATGGCCACTCAGTGATAGTGAGCATTCTAGTACTTGCCTCTCTGAAAGGTCTACTCTAGTAGCATCAATTCTGAGCTTCTGTGCCAAAAAGACATTGGAGCTGTTTGCTAAGCTATGCTATGCCTGGTTTCTGGAAGCTATTCACCGATGACTGGGCGTGTCTTCAAGCAGTATAGTCCCCCTTAAGTAGATAGAATATGTCTTTGGGTATATCTTAGGAGGACCCCCCACCCTGTAATAGTGGTATAATAGGAATATAATAGGACCCTAATATGGTCCTTATTATCCCTCATAGTCACTATTACTGGGTGGGGGGTCCACCTAAGGTATATTCCAATAAGATCCCCATATTATACTCCATATCCTATCTACTTAGGGGGGACTGTAGCTTTTTCTAGCTCCAGGGTCCCTTGAAATGCATCCTGATCTTGGGGATCCTTGGGGTAAGGTCCGCGCGGAACAGTAAGTTGCGCATAGACCAAGAACTTGCCCACACTATACTATAACATACCAGAATATAACTATGATATACCATAACATATTATAACATACTATAATATACTATAATCTACTGTAATGTACTATAATATACTATAACATACTATAATATGCTATTGCGTTGTTTGTGACCTTAGGAATGCTTTTTTTGCTCTAAGGACCCGGAGGAAGCAGGCGTTGTCATCATCGCGCCAGGGGCTTTCTGCTTCGTGTGGCTGCTACAGGGATCACCGAGGCTGATTCCGTGGGGGCCTGGAGTTGATTAATTTGGGGATGCCACATGGCTCGGACATGTGAACAACCGAAAGCCGTAAGTGGGCCGACTCCTTCATAGGAAGTTCCGGACCAGTGAGTCCGCAGGCTTTAGTTTGAAGTCGCAGCTTTAAGGCTTGGACGCACAAGCTCAAAAGTTGATAAGAAAACAAAAGCCCAGACGGTGGGATTGCCACTCTGTCCCTCTGACTGCCACTTGTAGGTTTGAAGCCTTGTACCAGATCAGATACACACCAGATGGCCAGCTTCCGCAACAGCGTTCTACTTCCACCATCTTGGAACTTATACTTGGCCCAATTTAGAAGAGACTGCTTTCTGCATGCCAGGGAAAAAGCAAAATCTTTGATCTCTGCAGGTCCAAACATTCCCTTCAAGGCGCCCCACCATCGGCCACTGCCTAGGACGGGAGGGCGCTCCTTCTCTCTGCTCTTCGAAGGCGGGTCTGAAGAACGTCTGGGACCCATGCCGTTCTATTGTTCAAACTTGCGGGGGCCCACGAGGTCCAGAAGAATAAAAAGGCAACATGTTAGGGATCATTCTCAGTGACGGGTACACTTGGGCAAAATCTCGCCTTGTTGATTGGAGTGCCTGCGACCGACTTAGTTAGATAGGTTTGCAGATCATTCATTTGGGATCTTGATTGGTGCGGGCCCTCCCCAAGCAAAAAGGGGGGCTCTAATCGAAAGCCCTAACACCCAATGGGCGGATTTGAGGGACTCTATGGCTCCTATTAAAACCAATAATTAAACGCATGTCCCTCGGCTTCCATTACAATTCTTCAAGCAGTTCA